CTGAGGTTACTCATAGACAATGAGCGCAAATCATGTTCCTGCTTTTGGGGTTACGAATCCTTGTGCTAATAATGTAGCTTTTGTTTCCCTCAAATGTCCTCTAACTGGCTCCCTCTTGTGGGACACCCTTCCAGGACTTTTAACATTAATCCAGTGCAAATTCTCGGAATGTCACTTCTGAGGAGTATCATTCTCAACTCCGTATTTTCTCATTCTGCATTCTACCCATGGCCAAAATGCTTTTACCCAGAGAGATGAAACCCCTGAACTTCACATAAATTACCCCTTACTTCTGCCTGCTGGGCTTTTCCCTTGCCTCCTCATTTGATTTTTACAAATTATTGTCATTGTCTAGGTACTGATCATATTTGATTTAGAACAATACTTGGGTAGATAAAATAAATGAAGATGGCACACTCTCATATTACCATAAAAGGGATGTAAAATCATTCCCAGCTGCTGCTCCGGTTTCAAGCCAGGATAGCACTGGGAAATATTAATGGCCAAGTTAGAGATTCTCTCCCTGACTAAGGTATCACTTGGGGTTTTTTTGTTTTTTGTTTTGTGAGACAGAGTCTCGCTCTGTTGCCCCAGGTAGAGTGCCGAGGCATCATCATAGCTCATAGCAACCTCACACTCCTAGGCTCAAGTGATCCTCCTGCCTCAGCCTCCCAAGGAGCTGGGACCACAGGCATGTGCCATGACTGCAGGCTAATTTTTTTTTTCTATTTTTAGTAGAGACAAGGTCTTGCTCAGGCTGGTCTTGAACTGCTGGCCTCAAGCAATCATCTGGCCTCGGCCTCCCAGAGTGCTAGGATTACAGGTGTGAGCCACACCAGGCCCATTTGAGTGTTTATTGAGCTCTTTAGCATGCTGCTTCATGGGGAACCTAGACAAACTGGAGGGGAGGGAGGAGAAGAGCAACAAGGTACATTAGAAAAGTCATTGTGAGGTTTATGCATTTAGAAATTTTCTGTCTGAACAGAGTCTCTCACTGGAAGAAGCTCAGAGATCTAAGTCATGGAGGCCAAAATTTAGAGAGCAGTATTTTAAAAATCAAAGAAGTTCTAATCAAGCAGCTATTGTGCTATTCCTATACAAACTGTACCTCAGGGAAACCAAATAGTTGACATAGGTGAGTTCTCTTTATGGAAGTATTCCAGATAATAAATAAAGAAGGAATGATGGAAATAAAATATCACCGTTTGGCAGCTCCAAATAAAATAAGGGATTATCAATGGTTGCTAACATCATAAGAACAGAGACAAGATAACACCTAATGGAAGTACATAAGATCACTATGTAGTATTCTTTTTTTTTTTGAGACAGAGTCTCACTTTGTTGCCCAGGCTAGAGTGAGTGCTATGGCGTCAGCCTCGCTCACAGCAACCTCAATCTCCTGGGCTCAAGTGATCTTCCTGCCTCAGCCTCCCAAGTAGCTAGGACTACAGGCATGCGCCACCATGCCTGGCTAATTTTTTCTCTATATATATTAGTTGACCAATTAGTTTCTTTCTATTTATAGTAGAGACAGGGTCTCACTCTTGCTCAGGCTGGTTTTGAACTCCTGACCTCGAGCAATCCGCCCGCCTAAGCCTCCCAGAGTGCTAGGATTACAGGCGTGACACTATGGAGTATTCTTGCCAAAATATCTGAATATGATCAGACTTATAATCTCCTAATGGAAGTACATAAGATCACTATGGAGTATTCTTGCCAAAATATCTGAATATGATCAGGCTTATAAATCCAATCACTACTATTAGGAAAGCAGGGAATAGGGGAGCATTAAAGAACACCATAGGGTGAAATTAACAAAATATAGATCTGTGTGAGACACTACAACAAATAAGTTATGAGAAAAAAAGAGATACCAAAAAAAAAAGAAGAAGAAGAAGAAAAAGAAAGAAAAGAGGAGAGGCGTGGGGGAGAGAGGAAAGAGGATTTTAGATTAAAACTTGTAAGAAATATACCAACCAATTGAATGTAGTTCCTTATGTAGATTTTGCTTCAAACAAACTAAAAACTAAAATAAAAAAAAAAAAAAACATAAGATGGTTAGGGAAATGTGAATGTTGACTGGAACACTTGGATGATATTATTATACAAATCACCATTATTATGGGTACGTTTAGTAGAGGAGATGTCTTTTATTTTTTTTATTTTTATTTTTTTTGAGACAGTCTCGCCTTGTTGCCCAGGCTAGAGTGAGTGCCATGGCATCAGCCTAGCTCACAGCAACCTCAAACTCCTGGGCTCAAGCGATCCTGCCGCCTCAGTCTCCCGAGTAGCTGGGACTACAAGCATGTGCCACCATGCCCGGCTAATTTTTTTCTATATATATTAATTGGCCAATTAATTTCTTTCTATTTATAGTAGAGACGGGGGTCTCACTCTTGCTCAGGCTGGTTTCGAACTCCTGAGCTCAAATGATCCACCCACCTCGGCCTCCCAGAGAGCTAGGATTACAGGTGTGAGCCACTGCGCCCAGCCGAGGAGACATCTTTTAAACAGTGGTTCTCAAACTTGAGTGTCTCATAATCTAGTGGAGGACTTATTAAAACACAAAGAGTTCCTGATTCAGTAGGTGGGGGGGGAGGGACTGAGAATTTGCATTTCTAATAAGTTCCCAGGTGATGCTGATGCTGCTGGTCTAGGTTCACATTTTGAGAACCATTACACTGGATTAAGCAGACTTTTTTTCCCCTGGTCAACTATCTAATTACCCTTTCAATGAAGCAGCTAAGGTTATCAGCTGAGTTCTAGCCTCTGTGAGCTATAGCACTCAGATGGCATTTCATAAACAGAAGAGAATGAAGTCGTATTCCAAGGCTGATGTAATAATTCAGTCTGTATTGACGTAGGAAGGCTTGAAAGAAAAAAACCTTCAATCCACCACCTTTCTCTCCAAATAATGATAACCACCCAACTCCCTCCTTAACCCCTCGCCCCTGCCCTTACTCCTCCACTTTCATTCCATCAGGATCAACGACCCTAGCACAGCATCCTGTAATGCTCCCTACAACTTAGGCTACTGCCCTCCATCAATTCCAAATTCAGACTGGTTTAAATGGATATCATATGGGTCCTTCAGTTCCATATTCTATCCTTCAGTAGTGTCTCAGAGGCACTCTAACAGACCCCAGAGCGTGTCTGTTGTTGAAGAGGAAGACTGCAGACTGCAAATCTAGCCATCTGCCCCCAAATCTGGCTCTTCCGTTAATTACGTGACCCATGATAGGTCATGTCATTTAGCATTTTCACACTTTAGTTTTTCAACAGTTAAAAAAAAAAAAAGTCCCTCATTATGAGAGAAAATAGGACACCTGGAGAAGTATTAGCCAAAACTTCTTAGAAAAAAGACATTAGCAACAGTACTGTAACATTAAACCTTAGAGCTATTACAGTTTACCAACAAAGTGCTTATATGTGAGTGTGTATATGTGTGTATGTGTAATATATATTTCAGATCCTCAGGACAACTTTGTAAGGTAGGTAAGGTAGGTATAACTTAGAGCTGAGAGAAGGTGAAAGCCTGGCCAAATTCAGGGCCAAGGCCAGGGCCATAGCCTGTACCTTCTCAATTAAGTCAGTGTTCTTTCTAACACATTGCCTTCCCTCAATTTATTTCAATTAAATATAAGAATGTACTAGTGCATAAAATAAATGGCCCTATAAGGATCAGAGAGTTGCATTAACCTAATAAAACTAAATGACTAATGATCCGGCAAATTAGAAAACAAGGGTTGCTTCCTTCAACTAAATGCCAGGAAAGATCTCTGTAATATCACTTGACATTCTCAGCAATTTTGCTTCCACAATTTTACATGCCTCTTTCAGATCTCTCTGATTTGCTCATCATAGAATATTTTCTTTCTTTTTTTTTAAAATAGATTTAGGGGGTATTCTGGTGAGGACCAGAAAACCTGCTAGACAAATTCTAAAAGAGCTGTAACATTCATAGAATATTTTCTATATCTCAGATGACAACAAACCTACAGTGGAAGTACCTCATATGCTGCTGTTCAAAGAGCTTCTGAAATTCTTTCAGCCTCTAAGTCACAAGACTGCAAACATCCTGTATGATAATGCTGCCTCATCACGGCAGAGACATCTGGTGACTAATGCATGCACAGCGCTGGACTGGGAAAGAGTTGCCTTTTTATTAAATCTGTATGTTCAGACCCCAAACTTAGCTCCAATCTAATTTCTTGCAAATTCTGACCCTGGGAGTACTGCATTAATAAATTCCCTATTAAATAATAAAGCTGATACAAGCAACCAAGCTTATATTGAATGTCTTTTAAAGGCCAGGCACTTCATTAAAGGCTTTACATAAAACTTCAAATATTCATCATTAATAATAAATGTGACCATTTATTTATTGAGCATCTAATCTGTGCCAGGCACTATACTTGGTCATTTAACATGTGATCTCTAGGCCTCTCTCACTTCTCATTTAGTAACCAGGCGTAGACCATTAAACTTACTTTCCCTGTCTAAGCCAGTCACACATTGAAGGAATGCCTTTTGTGTTCAGAACGTTATTTGGACCCTTTAAGTTTATCCTCTCCATTATAACAGAGAAGAGAAAGAGAGAGAACAGGTCAGGGCCCAACTTGAGCTACTGAAGTCCAGGTTTTCTCTGTTTGGGGTACTTGAAGACAGTAGCAATAGACATTTGGAAGGGAGTAGCAGAACCACTAAAGACTATTTCCTAAGTCAAATGGGTGTTTTTTTGTTTTGTTTTGTATTGTTTTGTTTTTTGAGACAGAGTCTCACTTTGTTGCCCAGGCTAGAGTGAGTGTCGTGGCATCAGCCTAGCTCACAGCAACCTCAAACTCCTGGGCTCAAGCACACCTACTGCCTCAGCCTCCCGAGTAGCTGGAACTACAGGCATGTACCACCATGCCCGGCTAAATTTTTGTATGTATTAGTTGACCAATTAATTTCTTTCTATTTATAGTAGAGACAGGGTCTCGCTCTTGCTCAGAGCTGGTTTCAAATTCCTGACCTCCAGCAATCCTCCTGCCTCGGCCTTCCAGAGTGCTAGGATTACAGGCATGAGCCAGCGTGCCCGGCCTCAAATGGGTGTTTTGATGGCATAAAAGATGTGCTTTCTGACGGAAGCTCTTGTCACATTTACTACAGTGAAAAGGTTTTTCTCCTGTATGTGTTCTCTGGTGTGTGAGAAAATGGGACCGCTGATTGAAGGTCTTGCCACACTCAGGACATTGGTAGGGTCTGTCTCCTAAGTGGATTCGTTGATGGGTAATAAAGTGAGAGCTCTGATTGAAGCTCTTCCCACACACTCCACATTTGTAGGGTCTTTCTCCTGTGTGGATTCGTTGGTGCTTAATGAGAGCAGAACTGTCAGCAAATGCTTTCCCACAGATGTCACACTTAAAAGGTCTCTCACCTGTGTGTGTTCTCTGGTGCGTTACCAGATGCGAGCTCTGACTGAAACTTTTGTGGCAGTCGGGACAACTGAAAGGCCTCTCTCCTGAATGAGTACTCATGTGAGCTACGAAATGAGAACTATCTCTGAAGCCCTTCCCACACTCTGGGCATTTAAAGGGCCGTTCTCCTGTGTGGGTGCGTTGGTGCTTAATCAAATCTGAGCTCTGGCTAAAACTCTCCCCACAGTCATTACACCTGTAAGGCTTCACCCCTGTGTGAGTCCTCTGGTGGGTGATGAAATTTGAGCTTCGACTAAAGCTTTTATGACATTTGAGGCACGTATAGGGCTTCTCTCCTGTGTGCGTTCTTTGGTGCATTATAAGGTGTGGCTTCCGCCCAAAAGTCTTCCCACACTCTGGGCACTCATAGGGTCTCTCACCCGTGTGGGTTCTCTGATGTTTGATAAGTGTCGAGCTGTCACTGAACTTTTTCTCACACCCATTGCACTGGTAGGGCTTCTCACCTGTGTGTGTTCTGCGATGGGTGACAAGGTCTGAACTCTGTTTGAAGCCTTTCCCACACTCGATGCATTTATAAGGCCTCTCACCAGTATGGGTTCTTAGGTGTCTTGTAAGATAGGAACTCTGGTTAAAGCTTTTCCCACATTCTGCACACACAGGCTTGTTTCCTACATATCCATCCAGGAGCTTGTTTAAATCCCTCTCTTGTGAAAAGAGCTCCTGCAGGCCCTCTCCTGGAAGGATTCCATGTTGTCCTTCTAATTCAAAGCCCCTTTCCCAGTTTCCTCTCCAACCAGGAGTATGAGAAATATTTTTATCGGTCCTTTCTGAGGATGTTCCACATTGTTCTGTTTCAGAAATATTCTGATTGAGTTTTGCCACCTGGTGCTCAAAGTCTGAAAAATTAACAGAAGTAACAGAGAATAAAGTTATGAGGAAAGAACATCAGATAGCAGTAAGAAAGATGAAAATTACTGTTTCTGTAGCAGACTAAATTTAATTCAACCACTCTGTTTTTCACTTTGTGAAAAGTTTATTGAAGTTCATTGAGCTTACAAAAAATATGAATTCCTAAACTCTTTTTAAGATAGCCAGATGAATGTTGAGGTAATCTTGATGTCCTTCAAGAGCATACCATATATCATCAAAATTGGGCAACTCTTGCAAAGATGTTAGTTTATACAAAGTGAAATGCTTAGTCAAAATGAAGACTTTATCCCATTACTGACTGCCCAAGAAGCAAAATTTAAACTTCGTAATAGTAAAAACAGGCCAGGCACAGTGGCTCTCATCTGTAATCTAGCACTCTGGGTGGCTGAGACGGGAGGATTGTGTGAGTTCAGGAGTTCAAGACCAGCCTGAGCAAGAGCAAGACCCCATCTCTACTAAAAATAGTAAAAATTATACAGGCAACTAAAAATAGAAACAAAAAATTAGCTGGGCATGGTGGCAAGTGCCTGTAGTTCCAGCAACTCGGTAGGCAGAGGCAGGAGGATTGGTTGAGCCCTGGAGTTTGGGGTTGTCGTGAACTATGCTGATGCCACAGCACTCTAGCCTGGGTGACTGAGTGAGACTCTGTCTCAAAAAATAAATAAATAAATAAATAAACATACCAAGAACAAAAGTCTAGGACAATATTCCAAATTCTTCATCTAAACAAGGCCTGAAATGCTAGATTTCCTCCCAGTGGGTAGCACTCACAACTCACCTGTGTGACTTTCCCTTAGAATCTTCCTTGCCTCAAAGTTTTGGAGTGGTAGAAGCCATGGCTCTTCTTTCTGTGCCAGCTGGGAGATTACACTTGATCTAGAAATCCTGCCCAAGAAGGTAAACATAGGATGTGATTCTCAGCCAATCTCACAAGGCCTGACCCAAATCCAAGTCTTTCTCCCTCCTAGGTAGAGGAGAACACCAGGGGAACCCTAATGTGTGTTTGGTATTATTCCACAGGTCTCATTCAACAGGCAGCCATGGTCAAGTGACAAAACAGGGTGATCTCTCCAGAAGGCTAAGACAAAAGCCCTTTTCCTCCCATTCAAAACAAACAAACCAGACTCAAGTGATAGAAATTCTAGAGTAAGCACAATAACTCATTTCCAACGGCACAAATTCAAATTAAAACAATGACACATTTAGGCAACATGAATATAGTATAGAGGTAATGAATGCAAACTCAGAAGTCACACTGCCTGGGTTTGAATCCTAACCTGCCTCTTACAAGCTGTGTGGCCTTAGAAAAATTACTTAGACTCTGTGTCTCAGTGTCTTCATTGATAAAATAGAAATAAGAATAAGATCTACCTCACAGGGTGGTTGTAAGGATTAAGTGGTAAGTCCTCAATAAATGTTAGCTATCATGGTTACTTTACCCAGACTCTTAAGCTATAGTACCACTGTGACAGGTAGAATATAAAGAAATGAACACTTTGATATTACGCTTGTGGGAATAAACAAATTGATTCAATCTTCTTGGAGGACATTTGGCAAAGTATTAAATACCTTAGGTCTGTATCTATTCTTTGACCCAGCAATTCTAATTCTAAGGAAATGATAAGATTATACTTTAATAAATAAGACTTTTAAAAAAGACAAATAGCTAAAATATGTTCATCACAACACTGGTAATGTGGAAATGACCTAAATGTCCCACAACAAAGGAATAATTATATTTGATTGAACCAAATGAAACTATTATTTTTATAGGTAAAAAAAAATGACCAAATATGATTGAGTCTAATATCCTACTTCATACAACAAAATATTATTCCATACAACAAAATACTAGGTGGTTATTTTAAGTGACGTACAGAAAGATATTTATCATCAAAGTATATTCACAATGTGTAAGAAAGTGGGATGTACAACTGAATGTATAGTATAATCCCAATATTATTTTTTATGTGTACTTTTGTAAATTTTATATATGCTTAGAAAAAGGCTGGTAGGATAGCAACTCTTCAGTTATAGGCTTAGGGATGACTTTTGTTTTCATTTTGCTTATCTTTTACTTTCTCTCTTTTTTTTTTTTTGAGACAGAGTCTCCCTCTGTCACCTTGGGTAGAGTGCAGTGGTGTCATTGTAGCTCACTGCAACATCAAACTTCTGGGCTCAAGCGATTCTCCTGCCTCAGCCTCCCAGAGTGGTAGGATTACAGGCATGAGCCACAGTGCCTGTCTTTTTCCTTAATGAGCAAATATTACTTGTTCAATACATATGAAGTAAAGCAGGAGGAGGAGTAGCCATGGTATTTTAGAAAGAACATTGGAAGGTGCTTATTTTCAAGTAACAGATAAAAACACCATAGGGACAGCTCCTTCTTTTCCACAAAGACCTGGGTTGGACTCTCAGCTCTGCCACTTCTGAGTCTCAGTGTCCTTAGCTGATAACACATATATCAAAAAGTTATTGTGTGATATTAATAAGACAATATCAAAGACATCTGCAAACCATAAAGTGTCATAAAGATAGAAGTCATTCTTTTTCTGCCAGGGAGGCAACAATTAATCTCACAGAGGTCTGGAGCTCTAAAAAACCAACATCCCAGAGACCACTCAGAGCTGGGCCCTCTCAAAATATCTAAGTCTTAAATCTAAAGAAGAGTAGTGGCCTGGTGTGGTGGCTCATGTCTATCATCCCAGCACTTTGAGAGGTCAAGGTGGTAGGATCTCGCTGGAGCCCAGAAGTTCAAGGCTGTAGTGAGCTATGATCGAGCCACTGCACTCTAGCCTGGATGACAGAGCAAGATACTGTCTCTTAAAATACAATAAAACAAATAAAGAAGAGTAGCATCCTTACCCTTTGAGAGCCCATTCTTCTAACTGTACTGGGTGGCATCCCTGAAGAGGATTCTCTAAGCAGTGTCCAGGAAACCCACTCTTCCCTGAAGTCCCCAGCCACATCATCAAAGGTCATCAGTTCCTAAAGCAAGAGACCTCAGTATGCATCAGTAGCTCCCTAGATATTCTCACCATTGTCTGAAAATCGAAAGATGGCCCCCAGTTTCCCATACAAACCTCCCCTGAGGTTTAGAACAGCCCTGAGGAGAATTCTGTCAACCACAGGAAGATTGCTTTTCTTGTTCTGTTTTTACATGAGCCTTCTTCCCTTGGCCAACTTTCCCACCACTAAGAAAGGCCTGGACCTCCCAAACACACCTACAGAACCCTCAATCTTTTGGATACATCAACTTTTTGAGGAACAAATTGTTCATGATGAACAAGATAAACAAAAGAGGTTACAGATATAATTTGATTTCTGTAAAGCTTTTTATTTTCTCCAACCACATTTTCCTGAGTAAGCTAGGAAATTATGGACTTAGCTATACTCACATTAGTTATGAGAACAGCTGACTCTTCTTGGCTGCATAGATTTGGGGTCAACTTCAAGGGATAGGCTATGCAGAACCCCAAAGGGAACTGTGCTAGGTACCAATCTACTTCAAGGTTTCACGGAGTCAGAAATGAGACTTAAAAAGACATGGATTTTTAAAAAGGACACAGATAGGTTGTAAAAATAAGTGAAATTCAATGGGGATAACATAAAACACAACCCTTGGGGGCTGAAACCCATCATTAATAATTTATAAATTGACAGCAATATCATGAAAAAATTACTTTTTGGAAGGGTGATCAGAGTTGATTCAGCAGTCCCCAACCTTTTTGGCACCGGGGACCGGTTTCATGCAAGACAATTTTTCCACAGGCAGGGCAGGAGAGGGGGGCGGGCGGTTGTTGGTTTCCAGATGCTTCAAGCACATTACATGTATTGAGCAGTCAAACCTCTTTGCTAATGATAATCTGTATTTGCAGCTGCTCCCCAGCGCCAGCATCACCACCTCAGCTCCATCTCAGATCATCAGGCATTAGATTCTCATAAGGGGCACAAAACCTAGATCCTTCCCATGTGCAGTTTGCAGTAGGGTTCGAGCTCCTATGAGACTCTAATGCCACCACCAATCTGACAGGAGGTGGAGCTTATGTGGGGATGCAAGTGATGGGGAGGGGCTATAAATACAGATGAAGTTTGGGCTCCTTGCCTGCCGCTCACCTCCTTCTGTGCGGCCAGTTCCTAAAAGGCCACAGACCTTACCAGTCCATGGCCCGGGAGATTGGGGACTGCAGGATTACTGAATGGATCATTAATTCATTCCGTAATTAATATGTTGCAAGGTATTAAGGGTCACAAAGAAACATATAAGATAAGGTTTTTTTCTCTTAAAGTTTCCAATAGAAACAAACACAAGTCAGCCAGCTGAATGACCACCAGCTACAAAGAATTTTGCACTTCAGTGGAGGAAGAATCAGACTGGGGTGAGGAGGTTTCACTCTTTCACATCTTTTGTCCCACCAATCAAAGCCCCTGTTTCCTACTGAAACACACACACACACATACACACACATACAGAACTTTTCCCAGAAACATGTTTACAGACATTGCTATTGGTCATTTATAAAGTATTACGTTTTTAAGGACCTAAAGATTGTAGGAACACATTTCATCTCTTTGTTTTAAAACCTGAACAAACAACAATAATGTCATTAGGAAGTAATTGTAGTAAGGGTTTTGAGTATAAATTTTACTGCTACACTCCTTATAAAACACGACGGCAGGGCTCACCTGCAGGAGACAGAGCAATTGAGGGGGAGAGAATTCCTGGTCGTGGTCATAGAAACCAGTTTCCCACCCAGCCTCCTTTCCCCTGTACAGGTGACCTCAAAGCACCCCCCCCCCCAGCGCTGAGGTGCTGTGACTAAGTGCCATTGTGAGAAGCACCGGTTTGTCCCCTGCGTTTATTAATAGGAACATGACTGCACGGCTGGGGCTGACACCCGCTCTTGCTCGCGGTGCTGCAGGCCCTAATGGGGGACAGTGGGCAGAGCGTCAGAAAGACAACCTGAACCCGGCGACCACCACAGAGGAGCAAGAAAATTGAGAGGGTGAGTTATCCAGACAACGGTTTAGAAGCCACAGCTACTTCTCCCCACACCTCAGCAAGACCCCGGGGCTCCGAGCCGAGCGCAGGACACCGGCAGAGCAAGCGTCAGGGTGGCGCGCCAGCCCCTCCACGCCCCCTCGCTGCCGCCGCGGTCGCTGCCGCCGCGGTCTCCCTTCCTGAGTCACTCACCGCCCCAGGGCCCAGCGGGGATGGAGCAGGAAGTGAGAGTCCTCCACCGCCGAGCCGCGCCCGGCCCGAAACGCAGAGGTTGTCCCTCCCAGAACCCGACCGGGATTCGTGACAGGGCTGAGGGGACACAGGTGGACTCCGCGTTCGACAGCCGGGAGCCGGAAAACACCGCCCCCGGCATCTTGCCATTGGCCTTTTAGTTTCCATGGCTAGAAGCCTTCCTTGTCCATAGGCTGTTTGAGCTGTCAATCGCTGCGGAGCATTCTGGGAAATGTAGGCCGGAGCCACACTTCAAAGGACTCGGAGTCCGGGGATGCCAGTTTCAAGCGGTGACAAGTGCTAAACCCAATTCCTGAGCTCCCGGACCCCGAAAACCTCCTCTCTGGAGCTGAGGGCGGGATCCAAATGCTGTTCCCCCAGAGTGGTATCTGCAGATGCGAATCTCCTAACCTCACCGGACTGCCGCGGAGCGTCCCCAGGGCGAGGGCTCCTTCGCTCTGGCACCTGGTCCCTCCAAGCGCGGAGCAGCTCTGCGCTCTCTCGGCCTTTCTGCCGACCCTCTCCGGCTGGCCCGCCGCCTCGCCGCGGGCGGCCCGAGCTCGCAGGGTGTCTGCCGCCGGCCAGGTTCCAACTTAGACTGGGCATAAGAAAGCCCCAGCAGAAACCCTCAGCGGAAAACAGACGTTCTGCGTCCTTCCATTGGCACCGAACTCCAGGGATGTCCCTTCCTTGGATAAAACCGGTTATAAGCAGAGGGCCAGGCGAGATTCAGGTATTCGTGGGAAATGGTGCTGCGTTCAAAAAAATACTGGGGGAGAGCTTGGTCCCTCATAGGAGGAGCCAGCTGTCACACGTGTGGATGGGCCCCTAGCTAAAAAATAATAGTAACCTCTCCTTACAGAGAAGAAAACCCACCTGTCTACCCTGTTTGTGGGTACAGTGCAATTTTAAAAAGAAAAAAGCGGGCCGGCTGACCAGCCTGAACACAAGTGAGACATGGTGCCAACCATCTTAATAAAAAGAAAGAAAAAATTAATGACTATAAAGCTCAGTGAAGACTATTGACACTAATTCACCCTCTTTACATCCAACCAGTGTGTGGGGGGGGGGTGGGCCCCAAAAGGTTTAGAGGACGCTAATCCAAAGCCAACATGAAAAGAAGCTCAAGCCTCTCTAATCATCATTGGAAAATGCAATAAAACGCCATGCCGAAATATCCACTAACCCAGTGAGAATGGCTTTTACAAAAATCCCCAAACCAACAAGATTTGGCATGGATCGCGGAGAGATAGAACACTCACACTGCTGGGGGACACACTAGTTAATAGATACAACCTCTGTGAGTAATATGGAATACCTCAACAGAACAAAGTAGAACAGCCTACCAGCAATCCCGACTACTGGTCTATTTACGCAAAGGAAAAAAGCACATTCTTATAAAAAAGACATTCTGCACTGAATTTGATTTGTTTGTTTTCTGCTTCTGTTTTTTGTTGTTGTTTTCGCTTTTGAGACAAAAGTCGCACCCGTGGCCCAGCTAGATGCTGCTCAGTTCAGCTCACAGAAACTCCAAACCCCTGGGCCAATGTGACCTTCCTGCCCGAGCCTCTTGACATAGGGGTTCGCGTGGGAACACAGGCCGATGCACCACCATGCCCTACTTTTCTGATATATTTTAGTTGCCTCAATTATTTTTTCTATGTTTAGTAGAGACGGGTCCTAACTACCTGACCACGACCATCCGCTCCCACCTTTGGACCTCCGCAGCAGGCGTAGATTGACAGGCGTAGACCGACTCAGCTTGGCCTGCAGTGAAATTTTATAGCAGCACAAGTTCACAATGCAAAGATCGTGCGAGACAACCCAATGCCGCCAATCTCAATGATCGATTAATACAATGTGGTATAGACATCACTACTCAGCATGAAAAATGGTAACACCCTCTGTATGATAATCTGGGATGGAGCTGGAGCCTATTCTTCTAAGTGAAGGTACTCACAAGAATGAACACCTAAACACCACACGGTACCTCACCATAAATCGATCAACACTGATCGTGCACGTATGGAAGTACACAGTCATTGGTTTGGGCTGTGGGAGAGGGAGAGGAGATGGGTAACATTCATACGCTTAACAGCTAAGTATGCGACTGGCTCTGGGGGGTGGGCATGCCTGTGGCCCCACTTGGGTGGTGTAAAAGCAATTTATATAACCAAAGCATTTGTACCCCTGTAATATTCTGAAATAAAAACAAACAAATAAATATATGGTGCATTTTCCAACAGATATTCATGGAGTACCTTCTATACTCAAGATCGTCTGGGCTCTGTGGTTACCCACAGGGTCACATATAACCCTTGCCTTCATGAAGCTCACAGCCCAAAAGAGGAGATAAACCCTCAAAGTACTATTAATAAAATCCCAAGTAGTGTTTTGCCTTTTCTTCTTTTTCTTCTTTTCATATAGCCAGTGGCATCTTAGTTATTTTGCTACATAATTGTAGTCATCTGCAAGATAACCACATAGCATTTGGGGGAGTTCTATCCACTATAAACAAATGTCTGGTTTGGGTTAGAAGATATAATTAAATTTAGTTAGATGAAAATGAGGAAAATAGAAATCTCATGGGAACGCAGGAACAATAAGGAACACCCAGAAAACCTACGGATTGCCAGGTCTCATATGACTGGAACATAATTCAGGACTTGGAGAACTGAAGGCATCTCCAGGCCTGTCAGTAGTCATTCTATATGTTGCCATCTGGGAGAGATGTGACTCTTCAATCAATCTGCAGGGATTGGGGAGGGGAGATGAAGGAAGAGTCACAGAATCTGGCTGGTGTCTATCCCCTGCCTTTCTCTCCAGCTTCTGTTCCTTCTGCCCTGCCTTCTTCTCTCAGCAGTTTCTTCACCATTATTAAATGTATGGGGATAAGGAGAGGAGAGGCTTGGTTTTGGGCAAGAGCAGTCAAAGAGGAAACCAGATCATATACCCAGATGGCCACTTGGAGAGTGGACCATGACCTATTGGGAGTTGGGTGCTTAACGTTGTGGCAGGGAGGAGGAAGCAGAGGAGGGAAGTGAAACTGTGAAAGGACTTCATGAAGAAAGAAAAAGAGAGAAATATTTTTAGCAGGTGCTATAACTGAAGATTTTAAGAAAGGGAGTCTATCAGTTATCTATTGCTATGTAACA